TTCTCTCATCGATTCCCCCGGGATGTTGTGATGAGTCGGGGTGGAGTGTGTTTGTGACAGCTGGAAGTTCCGGTAGACCTCAGTCCCGGGACTTAATGTTGTTTATGTTGGTGTGTTGCAACTCAGGGTGAAAAGGTTCAACACTGGTCGTAGGCAGCTCTTTTACTCCATCCTTCATCATCACGCTCTTTTGCCTCTCCACTGCACCCCTCACACATTCCTCACACCAGTTGTTCATGCACTCCCTGCTTGCCTCCATCAATAAATCCTTAACACCAACTCCTTCAAGCTCCCCCCAAACAACTTTCCACAATTAACATTTTTCTGCAGGACAAAACAGTTTTTTGTTGTTGTCTATTTTACAAAGCATATTCTAGTTTTTTTGGCTCAGCTGTTGCTATACCAAAAAAAACCCTGATACTACTACCACTTAATATATCTCTGAGGCAGAGAAGACCAGAGTACAAATGGGCTGTAACAGGAAAAGGAAGTATACTCTCACACACAACTCACCCACATCTACAACCCCACTCTCTCCTACACATGTTCTCTCCGTCTTTCATTGTGTCTCCATTCAGGCAGAAAGGATTGCTATGTAAATGCACCAGTGAATCGGAGTGAATGGACAGGCTTAAAGCAGATTATGTTAAACTGCGTGTTAGTTTAAAGACATGCTGAAGTAAATGGCTGGAGATTAGCAGATGTGCTGCTGTGCCACAGAGGTGTTTCTCTAAAATGTACTTAATCCCTTGTCTGTTAGTCAGTTCACACATCAAATAAAGGGATAAAGCTTGTAAAAGTGAACCAGGAAAAGGTAAGGTGCTATTTAAATCCTCCGGCGCAGATGGAAATCCCAAAGCGGAGATGATGTATTTGAATAACAAATTTGTCACAAGGCACAAGTATGTCAAGTCCATTTATATATTGTTGGCAATGCTGAGTCCATAACCAGAGCGACAAACACAATGGTGTAAATGTGAGCTCGTTTTTTGTTATATTTTGAATAGCTGACTTTAGGAGGAACAGCAATTTCATTTGACTGAAGGAAACATCTTTTGTATCTCATTTTGTATTAAAGTGCGCTGTCCTGTGAAAACCATGTTTCTCCACAATGTCAACTGAAAAGACTACTCCAACGATTTAGCGTTGCACATCTATAACGTTTTTAGACTCACATTGGTTTGAAAAGAAAATAATCCAAATCAATGCAGCAGAAACGGATTTCATCATCTTTTTTCATTTGATTCCACACATTACTTTTCCTTGTCAAAACCTGGCACTCGCATTACCCACAATGCAACTCCACAGACAGATTTGGATTTGTTATGCTCGTAGCGGCTATTGTAACCTTGAGCCTGTAGCCTCAGGCAGAGATGAGGAGTCGTGGGCTACAGAGGTCTGGTACTTCTTTCAAACTCCACACACCCACATGTTTTACATCTTCACAGTTATCGTCTTCAGCCCCAACCAACACTGCCAAGTGATGTCACTTGAGGAAGTGTATCTGACCTCAAATCTGTGGAGTTGCCTTTTTATTAAGAAAAACTGCCCTTTTTTTTTTGCTAAATGACAATACATTTCCCAATACAGTCTCCAATAGGTTTTTGAAGGGTTTATCTATGAAGTATGAACATTTTCTGAACCAACAAAGGAACAATTAATCCTTCAATTTATGTAAAAAATGAATACAAATCTCAACATTTACAGGTACATAGTTTTCAGTGGACTGCAACTGACTGTAACTACTGTAAAAGTAGGTCTTGAGCATACGACAGGAGACTGCGCTCTGCTGTGGCAGCGATGTCCGTCATGGATAATGCAACACTACGTACCCTTCCCTTTGCAACTCTCAAGAAAGCTCCGTTTTCAAGATAGCAACAACAACGCAAAACCCACTCAAAATGTACCAGGAGTAAACGCCACTCATAAACATGATGTCCCATTTTTATACTAATTTCAGAAAGTGAATGTGTTTTCACATTTCTACAGCCTCAGTGACATCCAGCATTCTGAAAGCCAACTTGACTTTCTTTTAAGTGTTGACGCTGAGAGCTGCTGACATGTGAAGTTGTTTTGTTATGACAGGCTGTCAAAAGTGAGAATGAATGCTGAATAGAAAGCATATTGACCCCAAGCACTCGCTGAGACACATCATCTGAATGTGTAAAGGGAGCTTGAATACCATTAACATATGAAAGACAGAAGCAGCCTGTCAAAAAGGGGTTTTCTGCTTCAGAATCAAATGTCTGAGCAATTTCATTTTTTGTCTGAAGCTCGAAATTTGAAGCATTTTTACGTCTCCGGCCTCCTTTCGTCTCTCTCTGATCCCTACTGTCCATCACCCTGTCCTCCTCTCCCCTCCCTGAACTCCCTCACTTCTCCACGACAGGTCACCATACTCCATTTATTATCTCACTCCTTCAGAAATATTTCCTTCGAACCGTCTCAGACAACCATCATCCTTCTCTGATTATTCCTTTTGTTTTTCCTGTCAGAAGCCTTTTCTATACTCTTCTTTCTCTTTCAGTTTTACTGCTCATCCTTCGCCTGTGAGGGTCTCAGCCATTCATCATAGGCCCAGCATGAGGGTGACACCATGGAAGAATAGCGTGTGTGTGTGTGTGTGTGTGTGTGTGTGTGTGTGCGTTTGTCAATGGCACCAGCCTACAGTAACTGTTTTTAAAGGGGTCATTCCTCAATTTACATATGATATCCTGTCCTCCAGCAAATCACTACAGACGTTCATTACTCACTCTCTCTCTCTCTCTCTCTTTCTCTCACACACACACACACACACAGACACACACAAGCACACACACATACGGCTTCACGAGCTTCACAGCTAGTAGGGATTGGGAGTAAATGCTAAAGGCTTCCCGCGGTTAGACATGCTTGAAATGACATTCTGTTTGACTGGAGGAGGGGAGTGGGAAAGGGAGAGAAAGGTGGGAGGGGGAGGGTGGCTGAGTTTGTGAGTTACAAAAAAAGTGAACAGATGCAGGAATGATGGAGATAGCTGTGTGATTTTTCTTTTTTTGTCATTCAAAGGGACATACAGTATACGATAAGTCTCCTATACACAACATTTTGCTATCCAGTCTATTATTATCCAACATTAGGTTTTTATTCTCACCACAGGTGGCAGCACAAGAGAAAGTTGGAAAATATGGGCACCATAGAATTAAAAGAGTTCTGAATTCACGAGAATGTTTAAAGTAGGGCTGAATTGCCAGAAGAATATATGTCCCTGATATTTACAAGTTCATTTTTATTGTCAACATGCCAAGATTGCGTGGCCTTGGTGGCTACTTAAAACCATCATCATTTTAAATCTTCCCATGTGTTAAATATAAGTAGCTCGTAGCTGAAAAACTGCCTGGGTATATTGCTTCCAAAACTGCATCTGGATCTCGTTTCCACATGACACAGAACTGACACGACCGTCAGTTGCTGTGTTCAGGTTTGTGTGGGAAAGGGGCTTCAGAGAGGAGGGGATGAAGGGAGACCGAAGAAGAATAGGGCCGGACTGTTTATTTTTTAAGTGATCTTTCCTCTCATCGAGGAGCGAGGGAGCCAGGCCGCCTATTGTTTGTCACTAATGAACAACATGAACGAGTGTGAGAAAGAAAATAAGTGCAAATAACAGCGGCGGCTACAAGCGAGACAGATTAACATGAAAACAAAAGCAGTTTGGCCCCCATATTTAACCCCAAAACTTTGAAATCAGCATTTTAGGTTGGGTGAAAAAAAAGCTTTCAGGTCTGTGAATGCTTTTTGGCAAAAAGCAAAGTGTTCCCAGCACACACACACACACACACACACACACACGGTTCTGTCAACAATAAATGCCTTACAGGCAAAAGGATAGCTCTGAAAGGGAAATGGTCTATTAGAGTGTCTCAACCCATTTATTCATTAGTATAAAAGCTCCGGGCAAGGGTGATGTAATCTCTAACAGCTACTTTAAAGTGTCTTTTCCAGCTACCTGATTTGTTAACAGAACACCACTGCACGAAGAGATGATTTGTCAGAGTTTTTTTTCTGGAATCCATCAAAGTCTTATTATCAAATTAACGTGTTTTATTTTGTCAAAACACCATTATCTCAAGTCTAAAAACAAATCTTGGTCACGGAAAAATGCATTCGACTGGTAACACAGACTGTGGAGCGACCAGTCAGATACAACTTTGGTACAGTTCATTATTTCTTATGGGCTTGTTCCGGTCTGCTCTCAGACACAAGCACATGTTAAGTACACTAGAAATGCAGCCTTCTCATATATCAAAACAAATATCCTCTTTGTTTTAGCAGACTTGAAATAGGTCCTTGCTTGTAATAACTTTGCCACTTGGGCTGATGCTCTGGATGAGAGCTTCTGATACATTTGCTGAACATCTAACGATCAGATATCAGTTAGGCTATGCATTTACATCAGGACCCATTGTAATAATGTAAAGGAATGTGATTGGTGGTTTTGGGATGAATGTTTTCTTGTTTCATGTTTTGCCTAATTTTTCCTTGTTTATATTTTTCTACAATGTTTTTTTCAATCAATTAACTCGGATGTACTTCTGCTAAAACACCATCTTAATAGTCAATGAATAGCTTTAATATACCATTCATTCTACTTTCCCCTCGTTCAAAGAATTCACGCAGCTACCACCGGAGACGGTTATGTGGTAGCTGTTAAAGGCGCTGAATCCCCCAGATCCTGCTGCTTGTTTTCAATATCCTCCTCACCCTCCTCCTACTTTTTACTAAACCCGATCTTGCTCCTGTCTGCTCCCTGCCCCCGTTTTTCTTTCCACTCTTGTCCTGTGTGTGTGTGTGTGTGTGTGTGTGTGTGTGTGTGAGAGAGCGTGAGCGGGTCAGCCCTCCCTACTTGCCAAGTGAAGTAAACTCCCCCCTTTTGCCCCTCTCTCTCTCCCCCTCTCTCTCTCTCTCTCTCTCTCTCTCTCTCTCTCTCTCTCTCTCTCTCTCTCTCTCTCTCTCTCTCTCAGCTGGGCTGCTGCTGTCAGACCGGGTTGGAGTTGGAGGACAATCAACTGCAACTGCTGCTGCCACTGCTGGTGTGTTTTGTGTGGTGTGGACTTTCTCACGTTGCGGTGGACAAACACACACCCACACACACACACACACACACACACACACACACATACATACAGGAGCTTGCATGCCCGGTACTCCTCCTCCCACCTCTCTCTCTGGCAAATACATACACACACTCGGGAGTGTGAGAGGCAGTGTGTTGGTGGAGGACCCTGTCGTGTGGACTGTATTGAAGAGAGGAGAAACGAGGAGCGCAGCAACAGACTCTACCATGCCAGTGCAGGGAGGAAGGCTGAAGCGCTGTCTCTCTCTCTGCCTCTGGAGCCGGAGTCCTCTGCTGTTGCTTGGACTGTTCTCTCTTCACGCACAAGCGCACGGTGAGTTACTGCAAAACTTTCTCTCCTCCGCAACATTGTCGCTGTTTACTCAGCTTTTGCTCTGAATTTGCTCTCATGCAACTCATCAAAAATGTGTGAAAACTTTAGTTGTGTGGTTGGGAGTTCTTCTCCTCACTACAAACCGTATTGGTGCTTTTGTTCTCTCTACTCTGTGTTTCACATCTTGAAACTTACTTTATAAAGTTGCAGCCGAAATCTGCAGCTCTGCAGTGTGTGTAAGCAACTCGTGATGACAGTCAGTTTCAGAAATCAGCTCCAAAACGTAGCAACATGATGTAGACATGATCCTGAATATAAGATATGCTATTATAACACTATTATAACACAAGGAGTTGCTCTGACATTCACTTTTTATATCTTCAATCACAGTGCTTGAGCTGTTTCCTTCGAACAGTCAGAAAGATATATTGTCTTGGACCAACATTGTTACCGTCAGCCGCATCACCCGCTTTATCTGTGACCATGTTTGGTATCTGGAGTGTGATCGGCGAGGTGTTGGAGAGAGAACGTGTCAGATTTAACAGTCTGTTATGTTTAATGCCGTGATGCGTGTCATTAAGGTTTGACGCGCTGCCTCTGTTGTTGTTTTTCCAGCATGCAGGTTTAATCAGCAGTTCTGTGGATTATCTTGATTCAAAAAAAGTCATTATTGATAGAATTTAAATGATAGTGTGTGTGATGATAAGTCAGAATACAGGTTTGTATGGAGTTTCTTGTCAGTAATAGTAGCTGTGCACATTTTTCTTTTCTCTCTTTATTGTTGGTCTATTTAAAGTCATTGGAGATTGTTTCAGCTGGGAGTCCTGAGGATAAGCCAGCAGAGGCTCATACCTTATTCTCGGTGTGCTATGTGCTGAGGTCATCCTTCACGTCACCCCCCTCTTAGTCGTCCATCTTTCCTGTCATTGTCACAGGCTGAGTTGGCTTTTCTATGGAGTCCATGCTGTGTTACCCTCTTCTTTTGAGTATTCTCTTTGCTCACAGATTCTGTTTTATCATTGAAAACTAAGCCTTGGAAGAAATACCAGGTATTTGGAATGCCAGGGATAATTTAAGCATTTGCACAAAAGTACACATGGACACAAACAAAATGTCCCTCGTGTCTTACGTTCATTGTAACGCTCTGTCCAGGAAGCTGCCGGACAGCTGCCAAAGAAGAAGACATATGTGAAATCTGACAAAGTTGGACCAAATCTTTTTCTCTTGTTCTTAATTTGGAATTCATATTATATGAAAAAAAATCTGTTTCACTTTTCTTTATGTTTTATATGTCTCTTATTTCTTATAATAAATCTCCATAAGTGCAGTTTTGGTGTCAGGTGTTGGGAAATGTAATGTTTCAGTTGATTTAAATAGACCAGTGTAACATTAATGCTCTCGATATCCACCGGATTTGAGTTGAATACTGACTGAAAACAAGAATTTGTTAGTTTCAGCCTTCACCCCAAGTTTCCCAGATTACTGAGACCTGCTCTAACTCTTTGCTCAGTCTGTATTAATAATACATCAAAAAGATTATTTTTATACTGTAAGAATATTGATATGTTTTGCACTTGCCTAGGTCAGAGCATCCCCCAAAATTGCCACATTGTTAATAAGGGAAAAAAAGAACATAGTGCATAATTTTTAGCTTGGATGCTCTCTGTTTCCATGCTAACTGAAATTTGAGAAACAATCAGCTTGAGTGTTTTGTTTTATTTCTCACACTAAGGCTGTTAAAGTCGAATCAGGTGTGATCCAGCAGTTCCTTTTAGTTAAAACTATATTCAAATAGCATTTTGCCCGAGGCCTGTTAGCAACTCCCTCATTCATTAGTTGACACATAGTTGATTGATTGGAGCAGCAACAGGCTCATTCATCTGTTGACGTACAAATGATTGATTATCCTGACAATAGACTCAACTGTGATTCAACAGGCACATATTTGTTTTCTGAATAGCATATATGTAAAAAAAAGATGAAGCAGGCAGAGAAAGAGGTTGTCATGTATCAGGACTACCTCACTTTCTCTTTTCGTCGCTGTATTCTTGGATGCCTGGTCGAGTGAATGGTAGACTTGGTCAGCTAGTGCTTCCTGGTCCTATAGCCACAGGTACACTGGAGACATTACAGGTTTCAGACAGGCAGTAGACAGCTGCGGTGTTGCGTCTGCATGGAGAGCACACTTTGCCCTACAGCATGTCTAGGCCATCGTTTCAAACGATGTGTTCATTATTCTTCAAGGAGAAATGAGAGGAATTGGGAATGTGCACACTTATGCACACTTTAAAAATCACGCACATTCACACACACACACACGCATATTCTGTGACCTTCCACCTACGTCAGGCTGCAGCCTTCAATGTGAGTTCTGGGAAGTGTGGAGTGAGCGTGATAGCTTACATTTCATTGTCCTTGGTGGAAATAAGCACCACTGTATCAGTTTTCACGGTCAAAGCTTTGCCAGTTGCTTTGCTTTTGTCACTGCCTGCTAATGAGACTCTGTTGATCTCTGCAGAATTTCAGGTTTTGTTTTAACAGAATAAAACACCCACTCGGTTTTGAGCCAAAATAATCGCTTCACACACGTTGTTGTTTGACACTGTGTTCTCCGAGCACTGAGAATGTGCTCTTCAACTCTGCGTCTAAGAGCGATCTGTTTTTAGTTTTCATAAAGTTGTTGGCAAAATCTGTGTGCTGTCTCTCTCTGTGTGTCACTGAACACCTGCTTGATGATTTCAGCTGTTACCGAGTTGATGTTTTCTTCACAAAGGGACAGATTTAATCAAAACTGTGTTCTCATGGTGTTAAAGAGGCCTTTTTTTACAAATCAATAGACGGTACAGGTAATAGACAAGACACACTGCATGCTTTATTTGCATTTATTGAAATCAGTGCGTCTCATCAATGGTAAAGATTCACTCTCAGCTCTCACGAAGTCATTGACAAAACTGACTCAGGCATTTCTAAAGAGAAACAACAAGCAGTTTAGAGAAAAGAGAAGCAGAAGGTGTGAGAGCTGACTCACTGTACCAAACTGCTAGTGGGGCTTTCTGCTCCTCAGCCTTAAAGCTTCCTGACAGGATGTGTTGAGTTCCCCTAGCTGGAAACGGATCCCTAGAACTACTGATCTGCTGGCTGTGAAGCTGAAACACAGAGGTGAGGTGTTGCTGCCCGTTTGTTGGTGTCCTAAAGTAAACTTTTATTTTCCTTCTGTGACATCTGAAGTCATTTCTTCAACACAACTGGGGCCAGAAATCGTGGTCCGCCCCTGGGAGTGTCTAAACGAGTGAAGGTTAACAAGCTGGGGCCCAAAAGGCTAATGTGGTGGCAGGAGTTGAAGATATAAGGGTTGTTTGACAAAGCAATGACATAAATATGAGTCTGTGATATGCGATATTTGACACAGCCCTGATGTTGTGTGTGCAAGGAAAAAAAGTGATCTTGAAATGACCTCTAAAAGGTGGAAGGTAAGGGGAAGTGAGGAGAGTTTGGGAGTGAGGGGTATTACATCCTGTAATGATCCAGTAACTTCTATCCCAGTCAGATTACCGGTCTGGCCCTGACTTCTTAAGACACAGCTGGAGCAGGGGAAGTGTGTGTGCGTGTGTGTGTGTGTGTGTGTGTGTGTGTGTGTGTGTGTTTGTGTAAAGCCCCTATCCTACTGGACAGAAAACCCACGAACACTCACTAACATCTGGCTTTTTTCTTTAGTGGGAAAGGTAACAATTGGCATTCATTCCCGGGACAAATGACTCCGCAGTAGTCACAGGTATTTATTGGCACAAGCTGCGGTCAGCAGTGATGGCAACATGACACCCAGGTCGAAACGCAATTTTTCGCCCATGTTCCGATGCAATGCTGTGTGGCGCTCGTTGAAGTGAACAATCAATAAAGTTATTAGGGATTTAGACAATTTTTATTTGCTATTACTGTACAAAAAAAGGTGAATTACCTTGCTGAACACATGCAAAAATAACTCATCAAAACCACCTTTGTTAGTGTTTCCACTAGTGTTTCCAAGAGAAACTCAATTCACATTTGCCTTGTGATTTGTGGTCAGATTGATTTATCCTGTAGCTACAGAGCAGCACTAGTGTTGTTCTTGAATACTAAAGTTGTTGTTGTGACCTACAGTCTTGTTATTCCTCAGTGAGCTGAGAGCACAGTACAACACCAAACAGTGATGGACAGATAACAGGTGAAGCAGAGCAAAGCTGGCTGTCACAGTCGCAGAGCGCTAGTCCTGTAAGGGCTTAGGGTTTTCCATGCATTCGCAATCCCCCTCCATAATACCCACCCCTCCACCCGCTCTCAGTCGCTTGGAACCATTTTTTGGATGGGGAAGAGGGATCGGGGCAGAGACATAGAGACAGAGAGAGAGACAGAGAAGAACATACACCAAGTGAAGTTTTCACAAAGGTCATTCAATACATTTAAATTATGTTCTTCCCTTTTTCTTTAAGACATAAAGTTTTCCCCTAAATTCTATTATCCACTCAACAGTTACATTATGACCACATGTTAAAATCTGAGCGAAACAGAGTTTTTTTTTAACTCATTCTTTATATCTAATATAAATCTATTATCAGTGAGTGAAAGAACTAGCTACTTTAAATGTGCTGGTGAAGAATGAATAAATCCACAGGCTGTAATTTAGGGTCATTTGTGGCTGTCAGGACGCCCACTTTTAACCAAATGGCTTTGCAATACAGACAATCATCATACGCTATGATAGGTACCTAATGGCTGTCCAGATAGGAGTGGATGTTAAGTGTGTGCGTGTGTGTGTGTGTGTGCATGTGCATGTAGCCGACAGCATGTTTGTCCAGTGAGATAGTACAGAGGAGGCCTGGAGCCACTGATGGTTGATATGTGACTTAGTTAATGGGAAGCTAATCACACGGAGGAGACAGGGGGACGCATACAACTGTAAACACCCTGTAAAACACACCATGGACACTCTCTCTCTCTCACACACACACACACACACACACACA